TGCTCTTTGGGCAGCTGTCATTTCAAGCAAATACGGGTCAAACACAAATGGGTGGAATAGCAATCTCCATTTGAACAGGATAAAGTCAACAAATCCTTGGAAAGGTATAATCTCCACTCACACTTTTTTCTTCCCTTTTATAAGATATAAAGTGGGAAATGGATCTAAAATAAAATTTTGGAAAGACCTCTGGTGGGAAGGAACTACCCTTGCAGTCTCATTCCCCAAACTTTTCTCTTCCTGTGTTCCCGACCAAACTGCTGAGAACACCCTAAACCTTCGCCTCAGAAGGCCTCTAAGGGACCCGGAGATTTCTGAATTATTTGTCTTACTTTAGATCCTTAAAGAAACCAACATCTCCCCCTCCTCCCCTAATACCCGAATCTGGACCCCCCATCCTGCTGGCGAATTTTCTTCTAAGTCTATGTTCAAGGTTCTGATTGCTGGTGAACAAAACTCCTCCTTCCCCTTAAGATCTGGTGCAGCCATATCCCTTCAAGAGTCTGCTTCTTTGTCTAGGATGCTTGTCTTCAGAGATTAAATGCTTGTGATCTCTTACAGAATAAGTATTTGGGAAGACTGTCTATCTTTCCTCATGTGTGCATTTTATGTTTCAGTGAAGGTGAATCAGCAAATCACATCCTTCTTCACTATAAGTTCACCCAAAACATTTGGCTTCATTTTTTGAGAATGGCAGGATACAGCCGGGTTATATCAGAGCACATTCTGGACTTCTTGCATGGCAAGGCATAGGCTTAAGTAAAAGGGTTAAAGTTTATTGGCAATCTGTGCTACATGCAGTAATGTGGGGAGTTTGGGATGAAAGAAATAAACCCCTCTTTGACAATAACTTCAGGCCCCTTGAAGAGTTAATTTCAGACATTACTTACCTTTGCAACCTCTGGACTGTCAATCCAGGTCTGTTCAAAGGACTCTCAGTCAATGACCTCAATAGAGATGCTCACCCCTTTCTGTTTCTCCCTCACCCTCACCAAACAACCTTGGGACAACCAGATTTTCTCAGTGATGGAGTGGTGACCCTAAACTTCAATGGAAGTGCTTTTTGTAACCCTGGCTTAGCTGGAATTGGAGGCATGGTAAGGGATGAAAGGGGTAACATATGCTGGACTTTCAGTGGTCCAATTGGAACGGATGATTCCACAAAGGCTGAAGTGATGGCTGCTCTAACGGGAGTCAGGATAATAAAAAACTTGGGAATCCAGAACTCAATCATTGCAGATGACTCAGCAAATACTATAAAATGGTTAAGGGACAAGGAGGGGGGACCTTGGAGACTGAGCCACAACTTGGCAGAGGCTAGGGACTCCTTGGACTGTTTAAATGCAAAATTAGCTTGGATTCCTAGGGAACTAAATCATATAGCAGATGGCTTAGCCAAATGTGGTGTGTTTTTGGATCATTTGTAAAGTGACAAGCTTTCTCCTCTTTAATCTTTTGGGGTTCTTCCCCTATTTTGTACATCTTCTCATGTACCTCTTCTTTTCTTTAACGAAATCTGGTTAAATTCCTCTCAAAAAATACCTTTATTTCCTCTCCACCTCCTTCAGCACTTACAGAGTCAACCGAAATAGACTAGACCTTAGCCTCTGAGAACTCCTCATAGATCATTGAGTCTTCCGCATCTAATGAGGGTTGGAAGGTTACTCAGTATCCCCTCTTTCCAAAATCACTCTAGCAACCAATTCACTCTCTTTTTCACCCTCCTAAAGAGCATATGTTTCTTTATCTACCTTATTTCCACTCTCTACTTCAAAAAAAAAAAAAAAAAATCAAAAACTTGAAAAGACTTACCTTTTGCGACACGATTTTTTCCACCAAGGCATGTTGATTCGTGAGAATATTCTCAACCAGTTCCTCTTCCGCTTCGAAGCCACACTTAGAACCAGCCTCTGTCACTCCAGAGCTCCTCTCTTCCTTTTCTCGCTCTTGGACCAGATAAGGATTGTCTTCATCTGAGTAGGAGTACTTTGTCACAAAACACTTGTAATCCCCTCTACTGTAGGTTGTCGTCTTCTTCCCCTATAAAACCCTCTTCTGCTCTATGTTCTTTTACAACCCCAACTCTTTAACAGAGCAAAAACAATTATTTGTCGTAGAAATCAAAGGGTTAGTATTAGAGACGACCCAAGGTTGGGCTGGGCCAAAATTAGAAATAGGCCCAAACTCACTCGGTCCAACCACTCTCACTTTTTTCTTTGTTGATCCGCGGTCCTTACAATGTCTAAAATTGCAACACAGTCCGTCATCGTCCCCAACCCTTCACCTCCCCTTTCAACCTTCCTCTACAACTTTTTGGTTTCTACAAACAACCAAAACTCCTTAGATCTAACACCCCTATCCTCTTTCAGAGACTCCCTAGCAGATTTTTTATCCTTAATCTGAAATAGAGTGTCCTCTCCAGCAACAACTAATCTCAGTTGAAAAATCTAATCCAAGTAAGGCAAATCCAACAGGATAGGAATCGAATTCAAATCTTTAGTCTCCACTAGAATCCTTGCAAACTGGAAGTTCTCCCACCTCCTGTTTCTAAAGTCAAATCTCTTAAAAATTCCACAAGCATTTCCTATTGCCCTAGACACTTCTGTTATCCAGGTGTGTAAAGGAATCCCATAAACATCTAACCAAACAAATCTTATAGAACCTAAACACTTCCCCAAAAATGGCATCCATCATTGGAAGAAAATTTCAGGTTCCCTTATCATCCCCAACTTTTCTCTTGCTAGGGCTTTCTCCATACCTTATTTCCATCTGAAAGACTGAAACTAAATAAGAACGTAGAATCCCCCAAACACATAGCACCAGGGAAACTTAGATGCTTCCATTCAACGCTCACCCACTTCTCTACATCCCTAATATTAGGGTCAATATGAACAAACCTACCTACCAAGCAACGACTCAAGAACTCCAACCGATCCTCAACCTTCCCAAGCTCTCTCACAGAAACTCCTTTTGTCACCTTTGCTCGTTATTCACTTCACCAGTTCCCAAGCTCTCTCATAGAAACTCCTGTTGACATTCCCATTATGTCAAAATTTATCAGCTACAAGTTGAGTCCTCCACTTAAGCAATCCAGGAAGAGCAAGCATAGGGGGTGTTTAGAAACCACCAAGGAGTGGTGGTAGCTTAGTTTTTAGGACCAATTGACTTTGGAGATTCGGTTCAGGCTGAAATATTGGCTCTTTTACAAAGAATGAGACTCGCAGTACAGCTTGGAGTTAGGGAATTGGAAATTGAAAGAGATTCACAATTAGGCATATCATGAACCAAGAAAATCAACTCAGCACCTTGGAAATGTGTATATTTTTAATAAAACACAAGTAACGAGACTTGAACTAGGTCATTTATGCTCAAAAGCAACACATTAACCATCTAGTCAATACTAACATTTATATTATAAATTAAAACAATCTATTTTATGTTTTTTCAACTCACAGTCAAACCGTTTGATCCATGACCCGGAAGGCTTTCTGGTTTTATGTCTGGTCTGAGTCTTAAAATACTAGAAACAAGTGTGAGAGGGGAGAAAGAAAAAAATCATAGCAACAACCAAAATTCACTAAACCAAACTTATATTTCATCAAATCAACTCTTCTTTTAATTGCGATTAAAAAGACTACTTACAGATCAATTTTTGTCAACTAGAAAAGAAAAACTCATAATTTTTTGTCAACAATATAAAAAAAAAGTCCTCAAATAATACTGATATCCTATCACCCAAATATTATGAAATTGGTTTAGGAATTAGAAAACTGATTTATTTCTCCATGTATTCTTTCCTTTCTTCAATATCTGCCCTCCTATAGGGATGTTTTTGGCATAATGCATACAAAACATTATTTCATGTCATCATCATCCAAGCCTTATCCCAACTATATGGGGCCTGTTTTGCCAGTTCGTTCTGTTTAATGACATATCCATTGTTAAATTATAGGCACTTAAATTTTATTGTTACCAAAATAAATCTCAGTCATCCAAGTGATGCGACAAAATTTATCTAAGCTATCCAAATAATGTACCAAAATCAACCCATAAATCTAGGCTATCACAATGGTCCCCTAAGATCAATAATTTACCATCCAAGTAACATACCAAGACTTAAAATAATCTGTCATTCAATTAATGCACAAAAACTCTAAAAAAGCTAGCCCATGTAACATACCAAGACTATAAAAATGGCATCCTAAAATCAATTAATTCATTTAACCCATCCAAATGATGCACCAAGATTTCATGTAATATAGTCCATTGAAATTATATACCAAATCAACCCAAACATCTAGGCTGTCAAAGTGGTGTCCATAAATCAATGTATCTTTTCCATCCACTGACCTTTGAAGACAAATTAATGTAATTCTGAATTCATTAGCCAGGGATCTCACTTCCCTTGTGATATGATGATATTTCCATGAGCATTGACTATGGATCTTTAATCAGTCTACTACCACCCAGAGTCCCCTTCCACCACTATATTCCAGTAACAAAGGAATCTGTCCCATCTTAGCTCCTGCAAGACACCTAGTAACTCAGCCCTTGTTGAGTCCCCAAATCATATGGGTCCTGAGATAATGGCTAGTATCTCCATAGTAATTTTAGAAGACCCCGTCCATACCAGAATCTCCACGGCTCTTGAAACAATTGATTGGAGGTAAACCTCAATTAACAGGTAAAGCTTTCTACTTCACCATATGCCAAGTGTTAGTAGCGACTTCTGATTATTTAAAAAAAAATGGTAATTCAGATTATTTAAAAAAGCATGTAATATATTTTCACAAGATCCAAGCAAATAAATAAATTTAGTGTCAAGAATTTTTCCCAGGAAATCACAGCTATAAAGTACATAGTTCATGAACAAATGAGGGGAAGAGGGAAAAGAAATGTAAAACAAATTAGAGTCTGGTTTTATATAAATGAGAAACATTTGAAATTAGATTTTCTTCTGGTCAAGAGAATGGAAATCTGTCAGCAAAATCCTTACTTGCCTGAGCATGAGAATTAAGAAAAAGCTCATCATCTTCTCGACAAAATGCCCCAATAGCTCGAACATCAACAAGATTTCCAGAATCCCGAATTTGAAGAATGTGTATTGTCTGATAGCGAATAGAAACAATAGCCAATAGATCATCATACAAGAAAACGCCCATATTATGAGCTAAATTAACAAAGTCATTGCAGAATACTTTCTCATCCAGTATAACTCCATCTTCCAATCTGATGATTACAAGGGAAATCAGGAAAAATAGCATCAGGAAGAACCATTCAAAACATACAGGAATCATTAAAATATAACTTAAAAGTTGTCCACAAAGTTATCTCAACTAATTGAGTGCATTTATTAAAACAAACCTAACGAGGTGAAACGTTATCTTTTCTATGGACGGCACTCCTTGAATGGCACCCCCAATAGCAGGTGCATCATGAATTTGTGCAGTCGAAGTAGCAAACAACCCAAATTGGTTACTCTCCACATACAAAAAGAAGTCTTTGCAAATAAGTTCATTGCTAGATGCAAGTGACACACAGTACAGCTGGGTGAAGAAGCTCTCAAACCTCTTCGCTTTTGAGGGCAGATCATGAAAATCACAATCTTCTTCCTTGCATGAAAATGAAAGCCAGGTCGGTCTATAAACTATTAGATCCTGATGGTTCCTGCTGAAACTTATGAGGTACCGACCATCATCAGTAAACTTGCGGAAAGAATGATCTGGACACTCAATATCATATATGGTGCAACTTGGGACTAAGTTCTCATAGAACTGCCTAGCACAATGAACCTGTCAGCATTGCAACTTTGACTCAGCATGTATGCATCATGTTTCTGTGTTTGAAATTGTATTTGTAAGTAATAATGGTATAAGAAGAATAAACACCACAGAACACCTCTTGGAATAATTACATTCAGATCATGTCCTTTTTATCTACAGCAGGGGACCTTTTTTTTAATAAAGAAATGGGACAATGCAAAGGGCGAAACCATTTTCTTAAATTTTGTTGACATATAGATTTTTTTTATCAGTAAAGAAGATAGTATTAATATATGAAAGAGGTTTAATATATCAGGTTGAGATATTCCAACAACCCGAGATACATAAGATTCACACTAAAGCCCAAAACAGCTGTTGTCTATTAACCCCTTGTTTTGCTAATGAATCCACCATGGAACCATCCCATTTGCAGTTCTTCTAACCCAAATGTAGGAGGTGCTTAACTTCCTTAGAGGCATTCTATTTCCCTGAAGACATGCCTGTAGATCCAAGGGACTTGGAGGATGCCTCATGCCTAAGTGATGATCAGCTTGGAATCCCCCTCTACTTCCAAGTAGCAGAAGCCAGATTGCTTTGCTAATATTAGGCCTTCTAGTAAGGCCATTAGTTCAGCTTTCAGAGAGTCTCCCACTCCAATATTTAGAGGCAAGGGAAGCCTATCTTCGAGTCCCATATTTCCTATCAAGGAAGGTCGGCATTTAGATGCCTTGCAGTACTGTAATAGATACCTTGGAGAATGTGACTATAAACACTACAAAACAACTTTCCTGTAACAGATACCTTAGCTGCCTGTTAACATTTCACTTTCTTATTTCCTGCTTTTCTTTCCTATTCTTTGTTAACATTTTTCTTTCAATTTTGTAACAAATCTAGTTCAGTGCATCTAGCAGAAAGGATGCAACAACATTTTCCCCAATACTACTGATAAAAAATAGTTGCCAAAAAACTGCTGCTGATAGATTATCTTGGTTGAAACAAAGCTACAGAATTTTAATAATAAGATGGTGAGGAAAATTTGGGGCTTCGATCCTTGTGACTGGCTTGCAATTCCAGCCAATAATACCGCAAGTGGAATTGCTTTGATTTGGAACAGTGTTGACTTCAGATTATTGGACAAAGATGTGGAGGCTTTCTCTATCCCAGTGAGGCTCCTATGGCTAGTTAACAACACAACTATGGTAATTTCAGGGGTCGACGATGGACCTTTGGCTCAAGCCTAAAAGAAGCATTTTGGGAAGATCTGGGGCAGAGTGAGAAGTAAGGTGRGATGGACCTTGGGTAATAGGGGATGATTTCAACGTGATCCCTAGACCAGACAATAAAAAGGGTTGCAAGAGATTTAACAGGGGAATGAACCTGTTTGCAACTTTTTGCAGAGTTGGGAGTTGCAGACCTGCCACTGGCTGGAGCCAAGTTCACCTAGACCAATAACCAGGCCTCCCCTTCCCTAGTAAGACTGGATAGGCTTAGTATTTCAGTAGAATGGGAGGAACTCTTTCCTAATACAAGCCAAGAGGCTTTGCTAAGAATGATGTTAGATCACATTCCAATCCTGTTGGACACAGGCAGTATAAGGTCTGGGAAACATTCTTTCCAGGAGGAGTAAAACACAATCCTTCATCATTTTGGACTGGAATCGAAGAAATTGAAACAACTAACTTACACCCTAAATACACTAATGCATCTAACATCCCATTAACCCACTAATCCATTATTCCACTAACCACTAGATACGTAACATTCCACCCCTCTTATAAAATATCTTGTCCTCAAGACCTAGGGTACACCAGGATCCTAACTTTTCCTTTTAAAGCCTCTTGTTTCTAGGGCATTTGTCAATAAGCTTAAGTTTGCATTTAATCCTTCAATAGTTTCATTAATTAAAATAATGTCATATGCAAGCAACATGCACCATGGAACTTCTTAAATATGTCTAGTCAATTTATCTATGATCAGTGCAAATAGATAAAGGCTAAGTATTGAACCTTGGTGAAAACCCATCATAACCGTAAAATCTAAAGTCTCTCCCACTGGTGTTCTAACATTGATCGTTGCCCCCTCATACATATCCTTAATTAGATCTATATACCTATTTTGAACCCCTTTCTTTTCCAAGACCCACCATATTATCTCTTTAGGAACTCTACCATAAGCCTTTTCTAGACCAATGAACACCATATAAAGATCTTTCTTCTTCTCGTTGAACTTTTCTATCAATTGTCTCAAAGGAAATATAGCTTTCATGGTTGATCTCCCTAGCATAAATTCAAATTGGTTCTTTGATACACTTGTTTCAAGTCATAATCTTTGTTCAATTATTCTCTCCCAAAGTTTCATAGTATGGCCCATGAGTTTAATCCCTCAATAGTTATTACAGCTTTGAATATCGCATCTGTTTACACCTGAAACATTTGGTGACTTTACTTCCATTTAATGGTTTCTTTTGTCCATTTCTACTTATGAATGTGTCACCATTTGCAAGAAAATAGTGAGGTACCATTGTGATTTTGAGGAATGTCTGAGTTGTAGCTCATTCTTCCATAATTGTCTTTTTGAATGCGAATGGGTTGGTGATATGGTGTTGAGTGTTGGGTGAAGGCCATCGAAAGGAAGACGATGGAGGACGAGAGAAGGTTCAGAGTAGTAGGAAGATGGAGGTCTGAGGTGTCGATCGAAGCCAAGACTTTCAAGTTCGAATAGGAAAGGATCAAAGGTGAGGATGCAATGAAAATCAGAGAGAATAACAGGGCGACTGTGTTGGTATCAAAGGAGGTCATTGTCTGGATGAAAGGTTTCATAGATGGGGCTATCAACTCTGGTAAGGTGAATGGCTGGAAAAACTCAATGTCAGTTCTAGGTAAGAAATATGTAACAGAATTGAAAAGAAACAGAAAGGGATGGTTTATCTCTGTGGTGGAGTTTTTTGGAACAAATGGAAAACAGATGCTATGTGTGCCGGAAGGGAGATTACGGAAAGGGTGGATGGATTTTGTGAAGGTGCTACAGTCTTTCCTTGTAGCCTTGGAAGTTAAGAGAGTGGATGGGGTGAAGAGAACTGGTCAAAAATCCAAAGACCAGGGTCAAAAAGTTCAGGAGGGGGCAGTTTCGATTAGTTCCTCTGGGAGTGTAGAAGTGCAAGGCCTTCCGACTGAAATGGTGGTTGCTTGCGCTTCTATTCATCGAAGATTATTGGTAGGAGCAGGGAAGGATGACTGGAAGAAAAGAAGGGTGCTAGTGGCTGATAAAGGAGTGACAGATTGGAGGAGGGTTCTGAGTACAGTTGCAGGGCAGATAGGTATTGGGAGTGAAGCTATGCTGTTCCCTTTTGCAGAGACGAAAGCCGTGCTTGATGTAGGCGATCAGGAACTAAGTTTTAAAGCAGTTGTGGTGGATGGAGGTCTGATACAGGTTCAGAACTGGAGCCCAATCTGCAATGAAGTCGAAGTCCAAGATGGGTGTGTCCGGCTGAAGCTTGTAGG